CAAACCTCGCGTGAGGGGGTGACGTCGCGAATCGCAGAGGCGTGGCACGGCGCGGAAGGTTTTCGCAGGGTAGCAGGCGTACGAGGAGCACGCGGAAGGGGGGACCGCTCGGCTAGGGCTGCGATCGGGAGGAAGGAATCTCGGCCAGAGCTGCGATCGCGGGACGCCAACTGGCTGCGAGAGAGGAAGCTAGGGCACGGGACCGAACCGATCACGGGCGAAGGAAGGAAAATGTCGCGTGTGGGAAGCTTTTCTCGGGTTTAAGCAAGCCAAGGCAATATAAATAAAGTTAGGTTAAGTATTTTTTAAGAGAAATATTTAAGATTTAAAAAAAAAAAATAAAAATTTTAATTCATTTTTTTTTTTTTACTCATGCATCGAAACATAACAAAATTAATGTCCTTTTAAGGTAATTTTGATGTTCCGGACGCGTCGGTGAGGTTCGTTTCGCCGTTGGAAGTCGTTTTGACAAATTCATCGACTTGCGCGCCAATTTTCTCGTGTCAAAAATATGGCAATATGGGTGTCCTTTCCTACCAAAATGGGTATCCCGGACGCGTTGGCGCAGTCCAATTTGTCGTCGGAAGTCATCCGGAGAAGTTCGCATTTTCACCCGTCCTTTGAGCTTAATTGAAGTACGATTTCGCGCAAATCCGTGAATTTCGTGTACTTTGTGTGTGTACGTGACAAAAAAAGATCGTGACGATATTTTCCTAAGGCTTGAAGTCCTATTTGGAACATTTTCCTTGAATCTTCGCAAAATAGCCCATAACCGCTCGTTCATAAGACGATGGTCTTGTGCCAAAGATGCTAGACATCAAAGGAAAATAGGAATTGGCTGGAATTTCTAGAATGGTGAGTCTCAATTCTAGTTTTCTAAGATGGTCCATAGGAATTTCTAGAGCTAGAACCTAGGCTCTAAGGAGGAGAAGAAAAGACCTCACAAAAATGAGGTCAACATACACCAATAGGTTGTATTTATATTATAAAAATAATATGATGGAATTTGATGCAAATTCTATTAAGCATCTTGACTTAAACCACAAAATATATAACAACTTAAATTGAAAGATATCTCATATAAAGTTATTTTATTTGCCCCCATCCAATTCTATACAAAATTTTATGCAAATGTGTTATGTTGAACAAATAAGAAGACATCATGAGAAAATGGTTGAATTAAATATTATGAATTTCCTTCATACCGGCGACTAGTTCTGTCCTTCATATTTTATTTTAGAGTTCTCGTTGATTAGTCTCGGGCTTCAGTAAATCATATATAATCTACAGAAAACATAAGAGAGAGACATACAGAACTACACCCATCTCTGGTAAATTCTTCTCTTCTATAACATACAAATTATCTGGCGCCTCTTTACAGCATTGCATGATTGAACTTATTGTAAGCTCCCTTCTGCATTATATCTAGTTATCTTATATAATATGTATTCTCAGATGCGGTTATGCCATATACCATAATATAATATCTAACCCAAAATCAATAAAACGAATCATAAGTTATCACAAGTTGGAAGCACATGGACTTGGCATGGTCTTTTATCTAAGCATAATGAAATGATTTCTTAAGAACATAATTGTTACATTGTTCAATTACATAATATGGCAAAAATCTCAAATTTACTCAAAAAGGCAATCCACTTGCATGGAATTGCTCTTAAAATTATCTACAAGTTGGTTTTAGAGAGGTAGAAAACAGACAATCACTGCCACCTGCTCTACAAACCACCTAAATATTCCAAATCATATGATAGTAGATCTTTACCTGTTAAAGCCAGACTCATACACATGATTAATCAAACTTTCTCGTTGCAATAAGGAAGCCGATTCAAGCAAATGCTGATCCTTTTAAACAGGAAAATGGCGGTGATGGATGTTTCAAGCTGGCTACATCGAACCTCTCCATGAACCTTTGATCAGAAACTCTTGCTTTCGCAGCGGCAAACAGCCGGTACTCATCAAATACTGAAGACAAACACCATCTTTGCAGTTTTCTTAAGCACCCAACTACACATCCCGTACGATGCTATGTATACATACCAAAAAAATAAATTAGTATAAAGAGTTCTGCTAGGGTTGAAAGTGTAAAATAAAAATCATTTAGGCTAACAGATCATACCTTTCCTCTTTTACAATGGATCAGCAGTGGGTGATTTCGGACATCTGTAAGAAAAATGCAAAACAGAAATAGAATCAGAGTTGTGAAATCTTTCTTCTCAAAAAAAAAAAAGTATTATAATTTGAGAATGTAATGCATTAGTTGATACCAAGGACAACTTTGAGAGCCTCACGGATCATCTCTTCTGGGATGTTGACAAATGGTTCCTGTGTTTATAAAAAAGGACTTTCAGTTTTCCAGAAATATTGATCTGCTTGCTGACAAAATAGTTATCGATTGCTTGCTTATAATAGAGCATTAATTTAATTACTTGTTAACCGTCCTTTCATCGTCCATGCATTTAGATCCATATTTTCGAGCCAAATGTGAAATGGATACTTCACTTTGGATCACCACTTCAGTTAATGTTCTTCACATAGGTTCCCAAAGGCTAGCGATGTTATAAATATTCCATCAAATATAGTCATACAGTGGGCATTGAAAAGATAATTTTCAGATTAATCCCTCAAAAATGTCTAGTTTATAAGGTCTAAAAACGGGGCTGGCAAAGCTATAGCAGAAACTAAATTTTTGCTTCAACATTAGACTATAAGAACTATATGAATCCTTTGTGACCATATCTATTGCCAGTTATTCAGTTGGATTCCTGTCAACCTGATAAAAGATGAAGTGAAATTGGTTTTCAACAAAGATAGTAAAGATTAAGCTCACAAAAAGCTAATACTTCAAGAAATCAGCTACAAACTATGCACTCAAATGATTATTGAAAACCAAAAAATTTTGTTTTAGAATAAATTGTCAAATAATCCTCTGACTATTTATATGGGGTCATTTGTCCAAGAGTGTACAAAAGTGTCAAATTAATTCGTAGACTTTTTTAATATTGGTTGAAATACTCAAAATGGAAGACTATTTTAGCCCCCATTTTGAGACTTCTCTAAATAAAAAAGAAGAAGCTCCTAAAAAATAACGGGCAACCAACTACTTTCTATTGATGGGTCATATAATTCAGCAACTTTAACCTTTTGGACTAGAAACAAAAGAAAAGCCCTAATACAAAATCCCATTAGTATCATGGAGAAGTATTATTATGCAATAAACTTAACATCGTGCATGATATCAATAACAAAACAAGGGGAGCATGAGTACTACAATAAAAGAAGCCATTTGGGCTGCCTGAACTATAGAAGTAAATAATAGCATGTTATCACGTGCCTTACACAAAATTCATTTAATATTTCTTAATGGAATGAGAAAGGCAACTTTAAATACTTGCCGCAGGAAAATAAAATTATCTTAAAGAGGCATGTGAGCACTTCAAAAAAAAAGCTAATGGTGATGAATTCTTGTGACCTTTCATTTTCTCAAAGTAGTGATCAAGGGGTAAGGAATCCAATTAAATCACTTATAGAAAGAACTATAACAAAAATAAGGAAGATTTACAAACATAGCACCTAATACCTATGTATAATTTACATATTTAATATTACAGCTTACATAAGCATGAAAAGGTGTATTTCACCTTTTAAAAATGAAAACAGTCCGTTTACGTGAAATGAAAATATTGGGCAGTCTAAATGCAAAAAAATAAACTTTAGATGTTAGATATGTAAATACATAGGAATTGGGTGGTACGTATATAATTGCCCCTGAGGATAATGGAAAAATATATATGAAGATTTGACCAGTTTTTCACATAAGAAATAAAACTTTGTTCCTTCAAAACAGCCAATAGACGAGTACTTCCTTGCCTTGCAGGGAGTTTTATTGGCTAAATGTAAACGACTGAACGACTTATTCTCTATCAGAGACTGCCTTCGTAATAACAAGTTGCAGCACTTCGGAGGAGAAACAGTTGAACTAAGAAAGGAAAACCAGGGAAAACAAATTAATGTTCTACAATAATTAAATATTTTTCCATGCAAATAACTTAAATATTTTATCCTCAAAATAGCAGGCGCAACTTCTCCTTAAGCTCACACATCATACGTAGCATCCAGAGATATCATTGATGATAAAACCAGAGCAGTAATTTAATCTAGTGAGATACCTTGATGATAATTGCAGCCTGCAATTTTTTTTGCATTGAATGTGTAAAATTAAAAAGGGTGATGCAATATTATTATGAGAATATGCAAAGCTAAAACTTGCTAATAAGCCTCTGAAAAATAATCCACCATCAATTAAGAAAAATATTTTAATTTCACTTCTTGGTGTATCTAATCCTTTCCAACTAGATGAACTAAGAGGTTTTTTGGTTTGGTGCAAAATAGGCAAAAAATAAATAGGTTTTTTACTTCTTCAGAGTATTGTATTATTGCAATAGCGTTGATATTACTTAACACCAACTTGATTTTAGTTCTTTCCCTTCCAAAAACCCTTGCAAAGTAAACACAACCAATTGTTTGCATTTACACAGCAAGAGTTCTATTTATGTTACTAAGCATTTTGAGCAAACCACATAGCAGAAGCTGTTAAAAAAGCTTGAAACAAACTCAGATTTGATACGAGTTGATTTCTAATTTGCCAAAATAGTCAATAAATGAAATATACAATGAATACAATATGTGATATAATACGCATATTTATGCATAAAATTAATTGAAAATCAATTTTTGTATGGAATCCAATTTGATTTAGAGTTTAATTGGAATCAAATCAGTTTGAGTTGACTCAACTCAACTTCGGTTTAGAGACTTGCTGAAATTGAAAATTTTTATTTTGAGCATGGCCAAATTCACTTGAACTCAACAAGATACACCATATGCACAGCACATAAGCTTTAATTTTTTTTTTTTAATATTTGACTCATTTTATCAAAGCTCAACAATCATGTGTAAGCTTTGTAGGTCGTTAGAGTTGTCAACTTTCCTTCTCATTTTCTACGTAACATCCTATCTTGCTTCTGTAATTACTTTGATTTAAATTTCGTGCAGTAGAGAAACCATGCAGATGAAATTTCATTCCAATTATCATTTCCGGACCCTTTTACTAATTCATTCTGAGAGTTACCTTCTTTCCAGTTTGAACTTATGAAAGTTCTTGGCAGTTTAGCCATGAAAATCATTGCATTTCTAACTTAGATGGGCATCTCCCCTATCATAGATCTTTCTAAAGAACTATTATAACACACAAGTCCAGCCAAAAAACTAAAAATAAAAAACCGCTAAGCTAACAAGATAAAACACTGAAAAATGTTTTCTTTGTTGAGTATCAATTGTTAGAATTACTTCTGCAGCTTACCCCAAATTACCGTTTAGTCCCGTCTTTCGGTATATTTAGAAAATCCAAAGGAATTAAATTAGATATAAAGTCCAAATCATTGAGGAAACAGCAAAAAGATATCCAAATCATTGAGGAAACAGCAAAAAGATCCCACAAAGAGGGTTTCATTTTGTGTCTCATCCCCTACTCTAGCAATTACATATGGCTTCTCTCAGTTTCGATAGAAGACTGATATACAACTGAAATTTGGAATAATTTTAAGAACTTGAATTTGCACCTCCCAGTCCAAACAAAATGTTTCTATATATAGCAAGCCTTTCTAAGTTGACAAAAGACAATATTAATTTCAACTATGCTTAATATAAATCAAAAATTAATTTTGAAATCAATACTATCACTAACTTGTAGAATACATGAGCCATTATTAATTGTTAGAATATCTTCATTCTTTCATTCAGAAGATATTTTAATAAATATACATCTTCCAGCAAATTGCATTCCATGAGAAATAACATAAAGGTTCAACACCATTGATCGACCACATCCCTAGAATAAAAATGGCATTTTATAACATGACTAAAAACCTAGAAATTGATCTCAGAACTTTCTATTGCCCTAAGGTAGGAGATGGAATAAAATAAACAGCTACATGACCGGAACATATCATATAATCAACAAAAACAAAAACTTATGCACAAACCATGAGGTTTTGAGAGGACTTTCAGAGCTTAAATCAATGTGGATTTTCTAACCATTCCAACCAAATGATGAAACTATCAAACTTAGCCATTTTTTAAAACATGCTTTGCCCCTCAACAATTTTCTGAACCAGGAGAAATCATCGAATGATACAGGCATGTAATCAATCAAAAAATAAGCAAGCAATCATCCATCTCAAAACCAATAAATAATTAAACTCATTACCTTGCGCCCCTCAATTCCAAAATGGAAGAGCCTAATCCCATTTACATTTAGAAACTCCATGTTGGCCTCCGGGTATTCCTCCGGACACAAATACCTGAAATTACCCACAGTAATCCATTTATCAATCCAAAATAACGATAATAATAAAAAAATGCATAGAACATAATTTGAAATCGATGCACTCACACTACAGAACGAAGCCGGAGAGTTTGAAGAAATTTAAAATTGTCAGTTTCGGGAAACCCTGAACGGAAAACACCGGTTTCAACCACCGCGAAGTTGAGCGGCGGCAGAAGAAGCAGCTCCTCTTCCACCTCGGCGGCGAACTCCTCAAATTCCGCAGTCCTCCTCGGCGGCTGTCCCATTTCACCGGATTTCAAAATATTTATTCGCTATGATGTCATAACAAAGCGATTGGGGAAGAAATTACAGAGAGACGGTCAATATAAGAAATTGCATGGAGGTTGATTTCCAGAAGAGGTGTGAAAGCAACTTATCTCTGGTTTCTTGCTGCAGTAGCCAAACATCGTCAACTCTTTTATATTGAGATCGACAAGTTTGGTTTAAGACCGACGAGAAAGGAACTTTTAGGCTGTTGGAGTTGACGGTTTTCTCTGCAAACATACATCGTCATGTTCTCTCAGATGTCTGAACATGGTCATCACCAATAATTCTGATGTAATTTTATGTGTCGATAATAATATTTGGATATTATTTATATTATTATAATGTTATTTTATCAAAATTATATCATAATATTATCAAGAACATATTTGTAGATCATTCGCATGCAATATTTTTTCCTTTCTCAAAAATTTTATTTTATAAATGAACTTATCTTTTGAATAATCATATTTTTATTAAGTTTGATTATAATTCATATTTTTTTTCTTTTTAGTTCCTTTGATTAAATTTTGAGCCATACAAATTTATATATTTTATTCATTTCAATTTAGTCCGTAATATAATTTTTATTTTAAAATATTTCCTGAAAATAACAAAAAATAAAATAGTTCATGTGACAGCATTGTATGCAATACAGAAGCTCATTTTTACATTTAAATATGATTTCTAACAATGATTCTTTTACATATAGATGATGTGGGACTATATCTAAAAGGTAAAGGAATAAGAGAAATTATTATGTCAATGAGGTCATTTACATATACAACGCTATTTCTTATGAGAAAAGTCTAATCGATAAGACTGATTATTATTTATTATATTGTACTTCTTCTTCTCTCTCTTTTTTATTAAGTGTGACTCATGGACAAATTAAGATTATATATATATATATATATATAATAGAGCAT